CGAGCGGCGGGTCCTTCCGAGTCGATGGTGTCCAGTGGCGCGCCCGAGGAGGACGGCTTGGAGCCCGTTTCCGGCTGTCGACGGATAAATTCGACGGGGGCTTCAGGCAGTCTAGTAATAACCCGAACTCGGCGGGGCGTAAACACGCCACCGCCACCCCCGGAAAAATAGTTTGGCTTCATTAAAATAGGCGGCGTGAAATAATCCGTCTCCCATTAAGGGGGGAAAGAGATTGCGAAATACGTTTATCATGACGCGCCCGCCGCCACGCCGGTTTCAAATGAAGAGATTAATTTTCGAACCCGGTGCGCGTAGTGCCATGCTGGGCGATGTCGCGACGGCGACGATACACCTCTCCTCTTTTTATTTTCCTTTTTGTTGTCTCCTGAGCGCCAAGGCCGCGGCGCAGATCACAGTGCCCGGCCAGGCTCGGCTCGCCGGCCGGCTACGGCCACGGCCAGGATTCACGGTGAAGTTCACGGTCAAATTGGCGGCAGCACGGGCGGCCAAGTGCAAGGGGACGAAGGAAGATGGTGGGAGAGAAAGGGGTGGTAGAAAGGGGAGGAAGACGACGGGAGGGAGCTACACGCACAACGGAGGTACCGATGTTTCGCGCAAAACGCATTATGGCAGACATTACACATCCTATTTAACCAACGCCACTTAATTGCTGAACATTTATAGAGAGAAATACAGAGGGAGGGGAGGTGGTGAGCCCAGGACACCTCGTCGAGCAAGCCTCAAACGGACAGAATGGGGTAAATCATTGCGCCGTGGAGCCACTAATCCCAATCGACACGGGACCAGGCTTGGCTGGAGACTGGCTGGACCATCCGAAGCACTCGACTGGAAATCCGATCGGGCGTCGCTATTTGCACTCCAACCCTTTTGATCAGCGCGAACACCGTCTGCCCGCGCGCCCGGCTGGAAGCGGGAGCCCGGGCAGTCAAGCGAACCTTGCTCGACCCACACTTTTAAATGTTTTCCAAACTTTTTTTAAACAAAAGACAATTGCGACGGCGTTAATCATATTCCCAAAAGATGTGCGTATTCCCGCTAAGTCTTCCATACACAAAATTACCTTCAAATTACCTTAAACTGCATATTTCTCGAAGTCAGATTTAAAACTACTGTGAAAAATCTTCGATATATTTTGTAATTTACCATTTAAAATATGTGTGGGGAATTTACGGAGCCCATCCTTGCTCGTCGATGATTTCGGAGTCGATACGTTTAGCTTGTAATTGTACAATTTTAAACTAAAATTCTGCGACACGCGTCATGGAAAATTTTCTCGTGAAACCGACGCGACTACTTTTCACAGTGAACAAGTCAAACTTTCACCAAACGACGGAAGTGTAACCACACCCATGACTACGCCACCTGCTGACGGCGCACACATCTGCTAAAGAACGCTGCTGCGTGTGACGTGACCTCTTGCAATGGCAATGGCAGGTGTGGCTCGGATTAGGTACGGCGAACAGAGCGTGCGTGTGCGCGCCAGACAATGGTGCGCGCGCGCCGCGGTCACGTGATGCACTCCGTGAAGCGTCCTCCTCTCCCGCGCCTCGTCTTCGATGCTCGCTCCTGTTTCTCTCGCCTGATGATACACGGTCAACCCGCTTCACAGTTTCATCTGTTTTTGATTTCTTTCCTCGGGATTTAATTGTATTGGGTATTTTTTTTTTCCTGCATGCAAAATAAATTGGAACGGCGTGTGCTAACGACGAGTTTCGTTAATGGGTGTAAAAATAAAGGAATCGTCGCATCCCGGCGTGTCTCGGGTGAACCCTCCTGTTCGGGCGGTTATAGGAAGCGACTCAGCAAAAGGTCGCGGCCGACGCTCTCATTTCCGTTTCTGCGGCTCACACCGGCGGTGCTCTGAGCGCCTGCGAACGTCGGGGTAGGCAACCATCGCACCGCCGCGGACCGCTGCAAGGCTGGCTGGCCTACCCCCGCAGGGGCTCCACCAGCCCGCGCGGTAGAGCTTCGTCACCCCCCGTCACGCGCGTGCGCTGCTCTCGTACGTCGCGATGCGTCACGCACGCGCTATACAGCGCCGCGGGCCGGGCGTGGTTCGTCACACCACCATAGTCACACGCACTGCGACTCATTGACTCCATCGATGCCCGCGGCGGCCGTCGCGTGTGACGGTCGCGTCCCGCGCACACCCGTCGTATGCTAAACTGGCTAACGAGGAAGCGGGCGCCACAGGAGGCGGTCGAGTGCGCGGCCACTGCTTTCGGTCTCACGCCCTTGCACCGCGCGAACAAGGACGGGTACGGGTACCTGGGGTACCCCGCAAGGAGCGAGCCGGCCCACATGTCTTTACTCCGAAGCCGCCGAAGCTACGAACAAGGATATTAGTGAGTGCGAGTCAGTGCGAGGCGAGGGGGAAATCACTCCGGATAAAAGTGTACGAGTTAG